CAAACCCCCTGACCCCAATACACCCCCACCAGCCTCAATGCCCCAAGAAGTCCGATCCCAAACCCCCCACTCTCACCATGTCATGGAACTAATCAAAGGAGCCCAAACAGATTTATCTGATGYGGCRGCAGAGGCTGTTTCAAGACTATAATGATCTAACAGAAGATTTCTATACTGATTAATGCTAAGATCATTCGTGATATAATTCCAATGCTTTCATTATTTAACTGTGCAGCAATTAAATTCACGGGATACAGTATCTGTAGACAGCCGGGAGCTTTTTGCAATTTAGAAACTCTAATAATGTTTATGATGCAAGAAGTAGATCAGTGCTGATATTTAGTTGAATAGTTTAAATAAAAAACTATTTTGCATAATCCTCTTAATATGAATACTAATAATATTTAAGCACTAATACTAAGTATYTGCAAATAATACGAATCCCAGAGACACCCTGCTAAGCCCCAAAGATCCTCACAAAGTAACACTTGCATTACATGGTAAATGTTACCTAATAAAAATCTGTGCGTGCGTGTGTGTAATTCCCCTTTCTCAGACTGACAGTCGGGATTTCAGAGTTTGCAAACTGTGCTCCTGACGAGCAGGGAGGGAGGGGTCGCAGAAAGGAGACAGGCTGGCTGGAGGGGCAGAAAAAGAATGTAATGTGCTTCTCTTCCTCATTCCCCAGTTGTTCTGAGTGTACACGTACGCACACACAAACACAACAACAACACACAAACAGGGCCCTGCCCCTTTCAAGCCTGGACTGAACCTGTTCTCCAGTCGATTAGATGACAGCAGAGGTTACTTTTCTTTTTCATCTCACAGCTCCTGCACTTCAGAGCTGAGTGATTTCTGTTTGATTTCTTGATTTGTCTCGTTTTTGAGCTCATCTTCTCCCTCAGGTCTGTCCTCTAATCTATTTGTTAATGGTAAACTAAAGCAACTGTTCCCCCCCCCCCTTTTTTTCCACTGCTTTCAAAGAATTTGAAAATATAAATTTTAAAACTAACATCTAAATGAAGCTTAATCCGAGTGGCGCCACGCGTGAAGAAACCAGCTGTCATTACCTGTTCTGAGAT